ATATATATAAATTTTGAAAGATACAATTATTTTGTATTTCTCTTTTTTTATATCTTAAAGTAAGTTTCTGGGATTTTTATGGATAATGTATAATGTCTTTTTTAGCACTCGCACAGTATAATATTGAGCCAAAGGACATTGATTACGTTGTTTGTACTCACAGTCATTCCGATCACATAGGGAACAATAATCTGTTCACAAAGGCACAACACATCATAGGTTTGACTGTTCAGTGTCGTACTATATTTTACGAAAATCTGATTTCGAACCGTAAGTTTATTAAGGTATAATGAATTGATAGTAATACTGTCGTTACAAAAAAAGTTATATTTTTTCAGAGGATTATAAGCCCTGTCCAGGTGTTAATGTTATAGCTACGCCAGGACATACAAAGGAAGATGTCACCGTCTTAGTAAATACGAAAATGGATGGGGAAGCAAAGCTTATAGCTATTACGGGTATGCACAAGTTTCAGAGATCATTGACGCATTTTATTAAAGTTTAAGTATATATGAATAAAAGTTTTTTTTCTTGATTTATAATTATATACTTATTATACTATTTCACAGGAGACTTGTTTGAAAAAGAGGAAGATATTTTAGATCCACATATTTGGAAATCGCTTGGCACACCAAAATTGTTAAAAATTCAATCCGTTATGCGTTCTCGTATAATAGATCTCGCAGATTTTGTAATACCTGGACATGGGCCAATGTTCTGTGTTACTGACACTATGAGAAAAGCCGTGAAAAGTCAAGTAATTCAATAAGATAGTATTGTTATGTCATTAATGAACATTATACAGTTTTATAAGATACAATAAAGAATATTTTTAAAAATAATCGCTTGATATTAGAATAGACGGAAATTATAGAAAACGATATTATGGAAAATAATAGGAAATTATGATAACAACTTGTTACGCTTTTTATTTTGTTTTAACTTTTGCTTAAAGATTATCGATTTTAATAAGCAATTTTTGTCAAATGATTAACTTGAAAATTAAACTTAATTAAAATCTGTCCTTATCGGGAGTTAAATTTCGAATAAGAAATCGTAAGTTTCATCAGTATAACGTACAATACACATTGTATAAAAAAAATTCTAAGAACATCCTTGCAAATTAAAATCTTTTCTTAAATTTTATTATCGATTTGTGTACAAAAATATAAACAATATAAGTAATTTTACATATGGCAGTTTGTCTTTATGCATTAATTGAATACAGATGATTGATTCTCTTCAAGCTTATACAATTTTTCACATCTTTAAGCAAGGACTCGGACCCAAATTACATTTCAGAATGAAATTTCCAGGGTAAAAAACATGTTTTAAACGTGTTTTAAACAGTTTAAAACATGCTTAATTGATGTTTTTAATATGTTTTAAATATAATATGTTTTTTTTAGTACTGTTTAAAGCATATTTGAAGCATTAAAAACGTATTCAAGAAGAAACACAATGTTTTATTCTTAAAAAAAAATTAGTCTTTACCAACCCTGGAAATTTCAGATCGATTATGATTCGAGGTTACTCAACTGTCAGTTCCAGTCCTTTTAGTTCCAGCGATAACGATAACCATTACAGATGTATAATTAAATTACCGAAACTGAAAAGGACCAAAATCCAAACGGTCTCAGTAACCGTTATGATAAAAGAACTGGAAATAAAAATTGGATTTAATTCGGACAGAATTTTATTCGAACCGAAATTTATTGGTTCAAATTCTGTTTTAATATATATATATATATATATATTAGAATTTGATCCTCATTATGAAGCAGATAACATTTATAAAGTAAATCGTGCTCCTTGCTCTATTCTTTTACCACTCATATTTGTTATTTGGTAACGTTACATGAAAACAAGTAAAATAGAGCATACAGCATTTTATTGTTCATAATAGGAGACTTGCTTGGTTCTGAATTTACAATACAATTCTCGAATTTAGAATTAAGCATGAAAAAGAATGTGAAATTCTATGCTGACATAAAAAAAAAGACGCTGCTCATTCTCACTACTGTAGCGTGTCTAAAAAGGATACTCTTAAGAAAGATTGTCATTTATGATACATCAATAAGATTGGCTAATTTATATCTACAATGACGGTACAAACAACGACCATAAGGAAATGATATGTAATCTCAGTAATCAATAGAGTGGGTAAATTTATCATAAATCTCCGTTAATTCTTCCATATGATATTTTTGCAAACAGTAAAATCTCTTCAACGACAAGGATTGCATCAGCGTGCAATGTATGCAATATACCATAAATATATCCTTATTCTTTGTCTTCTTATAGAATAATATATTGAACACCTCGGCCTGCAGAGAATTAAAAAATTTGTTCCTAATGCTAAATAACTTAAATACATATTATGTAATATAATATATATTACATAATATATTGAAAATGAGAAACATACTTTGCAATCTTGGCAATAATGCGCTTGTTTCCTGAGTTGGTTACCATGTTGCACTTCCACGTCCTTGCCTTTTAAAAATTCGAGTATCAAGTAATTGTATATCATTGTTCGCTTCAAGCAGTCCTTGATTAGATTGAACAGGTGTAGATTTGAAATTTTAGTTTCGCATGCCAACCTCCATGAAAGCTGCACCATCGGTACGATTGATTTGAATTTGTGCAGCTTGTTCCATTCGTAACGTTTTATAGCCAATTCATATTGTCTGGCAGTAAACGGGCCAACATTCCACGCGACATTATTGCACGAGCCAATCGCATGCACCCAGTGCACACAACCGACGTTCACCCACACGATATCACCCGGTTTTTGAAGGAATCTATATACCGGGACATTATTTTTATGTAGAACGTTCAAATTCGGCGGCCACCAACTGTCACTCAAGTAATTGACGCCCGCTTGCGCACAAAGCGAATGTATTGTACCCCAATATTCGTGTGGTACAGCAAACCATTCGCAGTCGCCCGGTCCGACATTAATGTTGACAGAACAGAAATTATTATTCTCTTGATGGCCGGTCGTTCTGCAGCCGGGTACCTAAAGACAATTACACATACATATGTATAAATTAAACGCAATCAGCACCTTTCAAATATACCGTTGGATCTCCGTTCCAACTTAAAATTATAGATGCGGTCGAGTTGCCGCTACGAATGCATCGAAGCATTTTTTGATTGGTCTATCAAATGCTTCAAAGCATTCGTAGCGGCAACTCGATCGCACCCTACGTCATATCAAATTTGAAATATACCTTCATATATAACTGTATGGTATTCATTCCTAAGATATCAAAGCCCACGTATGTAAGCATATTATCAGTACATTTAACTCTGAGAAAGGGTGGTAACTTCGTTAACTCATGTAACTGCGGCTTCCATATTTCCACATTTGACAAATCCACATTGGTAGCGAATTTTACTATCCATTTCTCTTTATCCTTGGTCACTTGACCGGGACTGCTGGAAGTGGATATGTTGGGATGCACATTTTCGTCATCATCCAGGAAAGTTTGGGCTTGATATTGCGCATAGTCTTTAATTGTCGAACTACTCTTGTGGCTGAAGCACTTCCAGACCTTCCTTTTCTGCTGTGTATCCCAATTCTCATCAGAAGAATACTTTATTTGTTTGTGCACATCGATTGGCATATTTGGATTTGCCTTGAGCAGACTTTCAGTCGAAAAAACGTCCAGATCAATCTCGAACGTTGTCGTGAGGTCATGTATCACGACAATTGGATACCGATACATCATATAAATCTCTTGTAGCTTCGAATGGACTGCTTGCTCTTTGCTGTTGATATAATAGCGTTGTATCGGCGGTGACAATTGTTCCTTCGTTAATAGATTACTGCACGGGTACGGTGGCGAACAATCGTTTACTAACGAACATTTTGGCACCTCATTCAGCCCTTTATCTTTGTACGTCTTGAGTATTGTTGAGGCATCCATCCAGATGCTTATTATTTCTTATATCGGCTACCGTCTAGATGAATAATTGAATAAAAAATAATAAAGAATATGAAGTACTACAGACTCTTGGCTAAACAAGTATGCTAACAGCTATAGTTCTCCGTTATTGCACACACGAAACTATGACCGTTTTATTTATTAACATATTCGATATAAGATTTGAAAGTTGAGGGACAAAGTGATGCGAATATACAGAGAATATAGATTCAATAATATAAACATTTCCTTCACAATAAAGCTATTTGATTTATAGATACATTTTAAATATTCTGTTAATTTTTATATTATATATAGATATAGACACTGATCAGTATCGTTTTGAGGAACAAAGGGAATAAATGAGTTTATTTTTGAAATAATGGCTGCAGATTATTTATTTGCAACTGTTGGAAGTTTTTTCGCGCTGATTGGATTATATTAGATCTAGAGGAATAATTCTATCTCAGTAATCATAAAACGGTTACAAAACTCTTGTGTTCTGCTGAACACATCCATTGTAGATTCGACGTCCAGTCGATATCGTATTATTTTCTATAAAAATCTACAAATTTTGAACGGTAGACTTTATTAAGATATAATGAATAATTGATAGAAATATGATCTAATGAGGTTATATTTCTTCAAAGGGCTACCTTAGTGAAAAAATATCATGTCACATTGTTATATGATGAAATCATGTAATTAAAACATGTAAATCACATAATGGATTGTTCCAAGTCAGTATGTAATTTTTTAAAATGATGCAATTTGAAAAATCACATGATATTAGAAATAATTTCATCCATCATGTGATTTTATAGTTATTGAATTTTAAAGAATTGAATGGTAGAAATAGAAGAAAAAAGAAATTACCATCATGTGACTTTTCAAATTACGTACTGATTTGGAACAATCCGTTACATGATTTACATGTTTTAATTACATGATTTCATCATGCAACTGTGACGTGATTTTTTCCAGTAGAGTACATGCAGTAAAGTCTGTCCATATATTAAAATTATATAAATGGTCACCTCAGGATACACGTGAGAGGGTTTAACCGGTTTAATAGAGACGATAATGAATGTAAAACTTAATTCTTGCTGTTATAGATATCCAGAAGTTTCAGAGAACATTTACGTATTTTTACCAAGTACATTAATATACATACATAGTCAAAAAGTTTATTTCTTTCTCAATTTATACTTATATGTACTTGTAGCAGAAACTGATTTCACATTTTTGCAAGAGATTTGTTTGAAAAAGAGGAAGATATTCTGACACCGTACATCTGGAAGTCACTTGGAATTGTTAAAAATTCAATTTAAATAATTGGACATAAAACAGTGCTTCGCGTTACGGATATATTGTGAGAGAAATCGTAAAGAGTCAAGTAATTCAGATATATTTGGTAAAATATATTGGTTATCTTATTAATAAACATTTATGCAGAGTTTCTATAAAATACAATAAGGAATGCCTTGAAATATAACGCCTGGTATTAAAATAAATGGAAATTATTACAGAAAATAATAGAAAATCGCGATAACAACTTGTTACGCCCTTTATTTCGTGTTGAGCTTTGCTTGGCGCGTTATTGATTTTAATACAAAATTTTTGTAAAAAAAAATTAATTTGAAAATTAAATTTTAATTAAAATCTATACCGGGGGTTAAATTTCGGACGACAAGAAATTATAAGTTTTATCAGTATAACATGCAACACACTGTATGAAAAGAGATTATTCTAAGGATATTCTTGCTAATTAAAATCTTTTCTTCAATCTTGCTATCGATTCGCATACAAAAATATAAATCATTTGAATAATTTTGTATACGACAGTTTGTCTTATTTTTCTAACAAGGATTAATTGAAGACAAGCGATTCTTCATGCTTATACAATTTTTTTAGTAAAGATATCTTTAGTAAAGATTTCCCTTTATCTTAATTTTCGTAATTAGTAAATCATATCGAAAAAGTTGTGTAGTAAATATCCAAGTGTTTCCATGCTAATCTAAAGTTTAGTAAATTTTGCTGTGATTGATAGATTTTCAATCCAATCTCAATCTGTGCTTACTAAATTACACATGCTTATAACGAATCTTATCGAAAGTTCGATATCCATCCTTAGTTTAATGCTAAATATTACAACTTCAGCCACATTATGAAACAATAATACTTGCAAAGTGGACTATATTTCCTCTATTCCTTTGGCACTCATATTTGTGACATAATAATAGCGTTAAAATATGAAAAGTAAAATAAAACGTATAGCATTATACTCTTTATAATAGAAGCTTGGTGTTAAATTCACAATATAGATGTCAACAATTTTCGAATTTAGAATTAAACGAAAGAGAAAAATATGAAGTTATAATAATTCCACATCCAACGGTGATACCATAGTGGTACCAATAATTAATAGCATGTAAAATTATCATAAATTTTCATTAATTTTTTCATACGATACTTCTTCTAGCAATCAAATCCCTTCAACGAAGGAGATTTCTTCAGCGCACAATCTCTATGCAATACACCATAAATTTCTTCTCCTCCGCCTCCTCCTCCTCTTTGCAGAATAATATATTAAACACTTTGGTTTGCAAAGAATGAAAAATTTGTTTCCTAATGCTAAATAATTTAAATATACATATTGTGTATAAACGTATATATATATATATATAATATATTGCATGATGTATTAAAAATGAGGAACATAATTTGCAATCTTGGCAATAATGCGTTTTCTCCTTCTTAATTGAGTTGATTATCATATTGTACTTTCACACCTTTGTCTTTAAAAAAATTCGAGTATTAAGTAATTGTATATTATTGTTTGCTTCAGACAGTTCTTGATTAGATGGAACAGTTGCTAATCTGAGATTAGTCTTGCGTGCCAATTTCATGAAAGCTGCACCATCGGTACGATTTTGATTTGAATTTTTGCACCTAATTGTTCCATTCATAACGTTCTATCGCCAGCTCATATTATCTGACAGTAAACGGGCCAACATTCCACGCGACATTATTGCACCAGCCGGTCGTATGCATCCAATGCACACAACCGACGTTCACCCACACGATATCGCTTGGTTTTTGACGGAATTTGTATACCGGAACATTATTCTTATGCAGAATATCTAAATCCAGTGGCTACCAACTGTCACTCAAATAACTGACGCTGGCTTGCGCACAAAGCTTAAATGTATTATATCCTAGTATTCGTATGATACCGCAAATCATTCGCAGTCCGGTCCGACATTAATGTTGACGGAACAGAAATTATTATTCTCTTGATGGCCAAGCATTCTGTAGTCGGATACCTAAAGACAATTGCATATATAAATTGAATCTCAATCAACTCCAAACATACTGAATACACCTTTTTCATCTTAAAATTATGTTATATCAAATAATATGATTTTATGATCAATTATAAGAATTATTATTATAACGAATTATTATTATTGTATAAATTATTTTAAATTGTACCTTCATATATGACTATATGGTATTCATCCCTAAGATATTATGACCTACATGGATAAGCATATTATTGTCCCAATTTACAATCCTAAGGAAGGATGGTAACTTTGTTAATTCATCTAATTGCAGCTTCCACACTGTTAGAAATGTTCTTAAATTTCATTAACTTTTAATATACATTGGTGAATAAAGTTTAATTTCTCTGTAACTGAAAAGACTATTAATGCACATATTAATGAGATTTAAGTTTACAGTAACTGAAAAATTAAGTGTAATAAAATTTAATATACTTTTATAAATGACATTTAATTAATCGTAATTGAAATAACTATTAATGTAAATATTAATGAAATTTAAGCTTGTAGTACATTAAATTTCAATACGCTTAACTTAAAAGTTGAATAACTGTTTTGTTTATTACACGCTCGATAATGAATTTGAAAGTTGAGAGACGAGTTGAGATACAAATAGAGAGGATATAGATTCAATAATATAATCATTCCCCCACATTAAAGCTCCTTGGTTTATAGATACATTTTAAATATTCTATAGGTAGACGCTGATCATTAGATATCGTTCCCCCTTTATTTCCAAAGTTTCTTTCCATACGTGAAATTATTTTTAACATCCAACAAATGAGGAAAATATTAATTCAAGTTATGTGAGGCTTGAAAGGCTACATGACGTATGTGTACAAAGAATTTTATCAAGAATTTTATCAAGACTGTAAAGTACAATTATGAAAACTTTCTTGAATAACAAATAAATATGTGTTCTTCTTAAACATGTTTTTAGCCTTCCCGAAATAATGGTGAAAGAATAGACCTTGCACATGTTTTTACAAATACTTTATTAAACATTGCAAAGTGTGGTACATGGTATCACAACGTTGTTATACTCATTGCAAGTATGCGTTACGATTACACATTATACATCGGATTCACGAACACGAATATTTATACGGAGGAGCACAATACGTTCATCTTGCGATTCCGCTCACCATAGCGCAGATCGTTACAATTTATCTCAGAACAATCTCTTCGTGAACACCATACTTATTTCGAAGAATTAATTCGCGAATCGATATATGTTTGTCGATAATAATCGATAAATACAATGCTATTTGAACATTGTCCTAAGGATTTATTCTCCTAATATCTATACTCTACGTTCGCGAACAACGTTCATTAAATCTTCACAGCCAACGACTAAATTAAAAGTTCTCTCACATCCTCACGCCGTATTCGCATTCTTATTTAAAAATTATAACTGAAGTACATTTCTTTTCGGGAGTAGCGTAGATCTAACTTTACTCTACCGGAGAATTCGCAACAGTATCGTAACAATATCAGGAAGCTGATAAATATACCCTTTGCTCGAAAGTACAAATTAAAAATTGATAAATCCTCTTAAACCTGTCTTGTACATTATCGCGTTGTAATGTTGCATATCATTAAGAATACGTGTGATTAAAGCTCACGGTCGCGCCCTCTGCTGCTACTATATTAAAAAATCAATCACATAGA